GCAGGAAAAGGATGGGTAGGAATGATATCCAGAGCTTTAGACCTACCCAAGCGAGAAATCATGAGGTTCGATGGTAATCCTATGAACTACTGGAGTTTCATACGAAATTTCGAGGATTGTTTTGATGAAAGCGTCGGACCTCGATCTAAGTTAAACTACTTGATTCAATATTGTGATGGGGAAGCTAAAGCTACCATTGTTCATTGTACATTGCTTCAACCGGAAGAAGGTTATCGTAAAGCGTTAGAGCTTCTTGAGGAAGCATTCGGTCAGAAACACGTAGTTGCCCGTGCATTTATCGACAAGATGTTAAACTTCCCTGCTATTAAAGAAACCGACTCAAATAGTTTAAGAAGGCTAGCTCGTGAGATGTATGTCTGTGAGCTTACGCTCACACAAATGAACTACCTGTCGGATCTTAATTCTACGAAAACCATCGAAAGCATGTTTTTAAAACTTCCACCACACCTACAGAGAGAATGGGTTAAAGTAGCATGTCGAATTCTCAAGACGGGTAGAGAGCCTTCATTCAATGACCTCTGTGAATTTGTTAAAGAACAGTCGGACATAGCTAACACTAGATACGGCCTGCTTGTCAACCGCAGCGATAATGTTGACAAAAGAGGTTTTGGTGCTTTAAAGGGGAAAGCTGCCGCAAGTTACAACATAGCGACGGTAGCACATGTAAGCATTAATGACAGCAATACTTCCTTATATAATTCACCTTGTCCAGATTGCTCAAGCAATCACCTCTTGGATCAGTGCCAGAAGTTTAAAAACAAGAATGTTAAAGAAAGGAAAGAGTTCGTCTTTAAGCATAAATTATGTAATAATTGTCTGAAACCAAACCATATAGCAAAGAATTGTCGATCGCCAAGGTCGTGTATTGTTGAGGGATGTGGCTGGAGACATCATACTCTGTTACATGAGAAGCAGGAAGAACGAAGAGATATTATTAGTGATGCCTGCATTAATTCTCAGATTTGTACAGAGGAAGATGTTAAGGGCATACAGAGGCCTGTGGCATTTGCAGTAGTTCCTGTGTGGATAAAAAACGGTGAGAGAATTATGCAGACGTGCGCCTTTCTAGATAGTGGGTCAGACACCTCTCTAATAGTAGAAGATCTAGCTGATAATTTAGGCCTAGAGGGAAAGCCGAGAACTGTGTCTTTAAAGACTATAAATAACGAATCGTCATTGGTATCTAAAGAGGTAGATGTAGAGTTGCACGCTATAGACTTCTCATCATCTGTTAAGATCCAGAAGGTATTGACAGTCAGAAAACTACCGGAAGTTCACAGAACTGTACCAACGGCGCGTCAAATGGCATCCTGGTCCTATTTAAAGGACGTAAGTTTCCCGAGAGTAGAAGATGAGGATGTTAAACTGTTGATCGGGTGTAATGTACCGAGAGTACACGAGACGAAGGAGGTGAGAACTGGAAAGATAGATGAGCCGTCTGCTGTGAAGACCTTATTGGGTTGGACGCTGTTCGGTCCTTACGGGGAATTCATTGATAACAACCGTGCACTTAATCACCTCCCGGCTAAGGAGGAACTGGAAGATAAGTTTGAGCAGTTGTACTCAACTGAATCGAAAGACCCGTTTATGTCTATGGAAGATCGTAGAGCATTCAACGCTATATCAAGCACAGTGCAAAGGTTAAATGAACATGATAAAATGCAAATAAACCTGAATGGAACAAACCCTCCTCGCACTAAATCGACAGATCAGGATTTTTCTAGTTCTCCTTCTAATCATTATGTTTCTCACACAGAGGCTTCCGTTGCATCACTCAAAGCATCAAATGAATTAGCTAAGTCACCTGCCGTTCTATCAAGTTTTGCTATAGCTAAGAAAGACATTCCATCTGATTGTGTTCTCGGTTCAAATATTTCATCAAGCGTTGTGAATGCTGATGTGTCGAAAGATGCTTCGGTTAATTTATGGACATCATCATCTACAAGTCATGATTCTGCTTCGTGTCCTTTTACTGCATCGGCTAAAGTTGTTACAGCTTCTCAGACAGACTGTAAGGATTCGAAAAATCTAGAAGATTCTGCTAAGGAAGTAGTTGAAGATAAACGGGAAGAAACGTTAACTTTAGCGGAAGTCGACCTAGTTGCAGGTGAAAGAGAAATGCCAGTTATTCGACGGCATTGCCGAGCTCATAATTCCGATGCTAATAAACAGAGGTGTAATAATCTTGGACCTTTTCATTTCGAGTTAAATGATGTACACAACAACGGTGCTGAAAAGAATAAAGAATCTCTCTGCAGGTCACGGACAGCAGTACGTTTAGTGTATAAATGCAGACTGTTGATTAATACTCTCAGTTGGTTACAAATGCCTGCTGCTCTAGTTGACTCACGAACTTTGAGAATGGTTGCAATTAATGAGGTGGGTAGTTATGTAATGGCTACATGGCGCAACGACTTCCAATGTCTTGCTGAGGTTCTAGCCCATCGTCAGCGACATGGTACAAGAGCAGAGTATCGCATACGTTATATTTGGGATCGCGTTGTAGAATGGACACCCGTCAGCAAGTTACGCAAAGCAACTCAGTACGAAATCGATTATGTCTTAAAATTCTGTAAAGAGCAAGGTACACTATCCACAAATAAAATCCCTAGTAAATTTGATCTGCAGTATTCATGTAGTAGTAGCAATGATTCTGCATCAGGAACATCTCAAGCTAAAAGAATAAGGACAAATGTGTCAGAAAGCAAGTCAATAGACCGCACTTCGGATCCTGAAACACATCGCTATCGGTCACGTCCTACTCATGTAAGTACAAGTGGTTTCTCTGTCTTAGAAGACAAGAAGACTCTTCTTCCAAAATTATTTGATGAAATCATCGAACAGGATGGGATGGTTTGTAATAAGAGTGTTTTCCAGTTTCACGAAGCCTGTCGAAGACGTCGTGAATTGAAAAGAAAAGCTATCGAAGAGAACGACACATGTCCATATAGATTCGACAGTTCTGTATCTGTTTTGAGTCAAACATTCATCATCAGGTCAAACCATCAGAACAGACGTGGTCTTAATTTAAAACATAATTCTATAAGAACCGAAAATTATGCAGCGGAAGCTACAGTAGCATCCTCACCGGTATCATCGAATTCATTTTGCCAGAAAAGTGATAAAATAAAGGGAAGCATTACCCTATGCGGACCCAACGAGATGTGTAAACGAACGCTGGGAGTAGAGCGGAATATCCGAGCGGATGAATCATTTGTCAGAGTTCACGTGTTTCCTGGAAACCTGACCAGAAGGAATATTTTGTCGTTTATAGCATTAATCTTTGATCCCGGAGGAGGTATATGGAAACATATTATAAAGTCAACGAGAAGGAAGCCACAACATGGAGACTCACCGTTAGTAAACAATACTAGTTTGCTGAGAAATCTTTGGGTGGAAGCTATAGTTAGAGAAGTCAATTATGGTCCCGATGGCCGATTCAGAACGATTCGATTGAAGAGACACCGTAGACATCAACCGAGATATACGAAACCTATGCCTAATGGAAGAGGTCGATTATTCGAGCGCGACGGCAACGAGGTCTCGACGTGGTGACCGCTTCGGGGGGAGTGTTAGTTATTTTATAACTAATTGTAGTTATGTCATAACTAACCAATCAGATTGGTTAAGCGCTCACCACGTCATCTAGTCTGACCGGTCTATGGACTTTCTTGTTGTGAACGGCCTATCGATTGAAGGATGTTATTATTTTATTTATATAGATGTGACTCATGTTATTTTTGTTCATTTTCTAAAGACACGCTATACTGTCCGGTACGTTTGCTCATCCTGCTTGATAATTGTAATTTCCTTATTTATTGTACTAAATTAATCGTTTTCTTTTGTTTAGAAACAGATGAAGTTTAAAACCGAATTGTCTTCTGTTAACTATAGTTTCACTGGGGACTCTGTCATCGGCGGTAGTCGCGTTTACGTTTTTAGAATTACATCTGTAGGACAAATTTAAATCCTACAGTATTCTACAGGCACCCAGAATTTTTTAAGGTGTCTATGATTCTGTCATTTCATCTAGGTTAACTTTTTATCGTTATACAGTGTATGCTCATTGATCTACAGATTATTATAAAAATAAATATAATCGTATTGATTTTACGAACTCATAAATTACACTCGACATATCATTGATGTATCGGTGAAAATAAATAGATTTTGTTTAGTTATTTGGTATCTATGAGATCGGGCTGTATGACACAAGAGTAGTTGTGTCGATAGATTTTTGTTGTATTTAAGGATAGCAAACGGAATATGCCCTAATGAGAGAAAATTTACATTAGTCTAATAGCAAGAGATAGATGAGGGAATTCATTTTTTGATAACTAATAATGTTATCCAGGAACATATTTTAAGGAATACTTAGATCGCAATAATTCTTGCTGTAGGTACAATGATGTACGGTAGTGTTATGACTTCCAATGACCAGTACATATAGACGATCTTTGAGCAACCAATATGCAACAAGCACGAAAGAACCGTTACTTTAATTGAAGGTCGGCCTAATAATAACTTGCCCCGAGCATAAGATCAATGACCATAAGTCCAAGATCGTTACTATATTTCAGGCATTCTTTTATTTGCATACAAAACTAGACCACATCACACCAATAGATGGAAAATAACAATTAAAAATGAATGAGCCAAAAGTGACTGTCGGTAAGGGAAACTATGAATGATAAAGTGGCAGGAAAATAAGAATGATAATAGCTTATGGGTTAGTGGGCAGCTTATGATAAAAGGAATATATAAACCTGACAATCTAGTTATTGAATACGATAGAACTGAATATATCAGTATTCTACAGATTGGTTCTCTAGGTTACTATTACTTTGATCTTCGTTCGGATTCAGAAGTTGGCTACTGTTTTAAGCTCACAGGAGCTAAGTGAATGAATGTAATTCATTAATCATGTACACATACACATTAATTTATGGAGTAAGTAAACTATAAGAAAGGGGACCATATTAGTCGCAAAGAGACAGTTCACTATGACAGTGTAAACAAACAGATGATATTCTGATGAAGATCAAAGATGTTACAAACCGTATACGTACATTAAAGACATATGATAACTAATAAAAACAATATTAGGAGTATTAATCAACATACCAACTGGATAGATTGTTTTAATTCTACGAGTATCTCTGTTTGATGCACATTCTTCAACTTTGGATCATTCGCTTCAACGCTGCCTTCATGTAAGCTGACATCCACATATGCAGGTTTACAATGCATGGATGATGACGGTGATAACTCATTTTTACCAATGGGATATTGGAATGGTACAGCCATGCCGGTAATCCGACGATACGTTTGTCCATTTGATGCTACAGATGCAAATAATGTGGTGAATAGGGATTTCGGTCGTTGAAATTGTCGTTTAGCTAAATACTGAAGGTAAAAAGTAAACAGGTGGCAGTAGGAAAATATTAAATTACTAAGTATTTATGATTCCAAAAAGATAGGTTGTTTTATATCTAATAATAGCATATCAGTCAGTAAGTCAGTTACTACATAGAACTTCGTACGTTCGTACATCAGTTCAAGTTGTCATACCACATTAGCATAGAGATGAGATTGTCAATTCAAAGCAGTAGAGGTAGTAGAAGTATTAGTAGTAATTGGAAAGATCACGACAGCATTGCTTGCTCGGTTGTCCCAGGATGCACAAGCAATGCTTCGGAGACACCTATGATCGAAAACCAGTAACCTACTCTGACTAGCCATGTTTCGCATCTGTATAGTAGGACGGAGTGAACTACTGCGCAGTACACTCGACCTTTGGTTAGCAAACGAATATCTCGCCTACGCCAGCACTGATGAGACTTCCGAGATAAGTGAAGCGGTCTACACGTTCGATTACTTCCTTCCTATCACTAGTTCAGGTGCCGATGCAAGACAATTCCGAAGTAATATTTTGCATTTCAAAGGGGGAGAATCGCATCCCGAATGTGCTTGCATAGTTGCTTAAGGTGGTCAGAAGACTGCATTTTGTCAGCGTCTTCAACAACCAGAACTATGTCATCGGCATATTCTAAGTCTACGAGCGAATCTTCAGGTAAGAGTTTAACTCCTGAAAAGTCAGATGATGACTGTCGTATTTAAACAGCAAGTCAATGATAAAGTTAAATGAGATTGGAGAAAGTGGACAGCCCTGGCGGACATTACTTTAAGTAATGAATTCCAATGACGATCCAGCATAAGCTCTCAATCGACCAGAGGTGTTTGAGTAAAGAGCTTGTACATCTCTGTTACACCTTTTAGTGACAGACACTGGCCATAGAACCTCGAGATCGACAGAATCAAATGCCGATTTACGGTCCATGAAGACAACTTTTGTCGGACGCCTGAATGTGTGTCTGTGTCCGCGATTAGTAAGGCTCTATATGGTAGCCGAAGATTACCAAACTGAACGAGTTACTTCAAAGTTATTTGAGTACTACCCATAGATCTAGCAGTATATAATATTATTGTCAATTCAAATCCAATAGTAGAGGAGGTAGTAAAGGTATTATTAAATAATAGCACTAACAGTATTAATTAGTACATAGCCTATTATTTAAGAACATATGATTATCTTTAGGAACTATAGTCTGTAGATCCCCTTAAATATGCTATCTAGAATGAAGACAAAACGTAGTTTATGTTCTATATAAATAGGTTACACTTGCGGCTCGGCTGTATGACAGTTTCTTATCATTCTTTCATGTGATCACGAATGATTAACACCCATCAAGGTGGGATATATTAAATTTATACTAACATTGATGTAATATTTGTTTAAGTCCGTGAAATTAGCTGTTTAAAGAATGGCAAATTTGTCTTTTTTCAAATAATGACTTGAATGTTTACTAGAATAGTATTGATGAACACCAGTTAGAATGATCCACTATTCGAAAGAATGATACCACAATAATATTAGAAATTCGTTCTAAGTTCTGTTGGCTCACAATAAACAATGGAGCAACTTTTAGGATAAAAAATGTCTTCGAAATATTTACAGAATATAAAGAAATGCTTTATTACTCAATACATATTTCTACAGATAATATTGATAGAATTTCTATCACAGGAACTTGACTAAATTGAAAACATAAAACGACGTCAAAAACTGTAAATATCTAGAAGATAGTAAGGAATTAGCGATTAACTATAACTAATACGGCTGAAGGTGCCCTATTGTAATAATATTTATATGTTTAAAAAAGCAAGATAAACAATTACTTGAGAAACCGTAAAACCAATAAACGATTTGTTCACTAATTAGTTGGTTTGAAATGATTCACTTAAAATTCTAATTAAATATCGTGACCTATAAGGTCAACAAAATCGAGTGTGAAAATGTAATTATTGAACAACTGGATTATGGTTTTATCACAGTGCCGGACGACAATTAGAATAGTTAAATGACAACGTCCTCGTTGCCAGATTAAAATTAGATATAACAGAATTGATGACTTGATATACTCATTAGCTACAAAAGGTTGTCTAATTTGGAAATGAATAAGCTAAAAACAGTAATTGTTCCAATTGAGGTGTCAATTAAAATACTGGATAATGAATGTTACATGGGTTGTTTAAGAATATTCAAAGTATGATAAAGTTACTGAACCTTGATTAGTTGATCCAGTTCGCTAAAATGTATATATATATATATATATATATATATATATATATATATATATATATATATATATATATATACTTAAAATGCAATAAATTGTGTAGTTCCTTTAGAATTAGAAAAAAACGTTGAAAAATATGGTTGGATATGATAGTTCAGTTGAAACCAATTGTAATAAAAGGTGTAGTATGTTTTAGCAGTTACATAGCACAGTAGCCGATTTTGTTTCAATGTTTTTGAATTGAAAAAGAAAATACTCTAAAACTTTGTTCCACTAAACAAGGATCGGTCAATGGAATAAACAGGTAAATATTAATTTCATTTGTTAACGCCCCAGCAGACAATAAGAACAAAGAATAACGATGCCGGGTTTGACGTCATAATTTGGAAAGCTTACACCGAAACGGTAAATACATAAAAGGAAGAATTGCAACTATATTTATAGGCTATGATTAGTTTCCAAACATACTGATTAATGTATTTCAAAATTTTAAAGTTTTATGAACTGATAAACCTAGTGTTTATAAGGTGTATTGGTGACACATGCATAAACTTTCATAGCGCATAAAATGGGGTGGACAATAATTGAGTTAGAGAAAGATAACTTAAAATTCATTTAAACGTTGTGACTTATAACACAATATAGTTGTACCTGGTTAATTCTTCATGTCTTTAGTAAAAAAGAAATTAAATTATCGAAATATATAAGACAGATGAAAGTCAGCCATGACGGATATATTCACTTTATGTTATTGTGAGGTTTATAAATAAGCGAATGCTTCACCTTTAAGCTGGACGCCATGGTAAATTGTTGCTCTTTGTTTTAAATGGTAATTCAGAGTAAAACAAAATGAGAATATTAAGTGCGACTGAAACAAAAAGCTAGAATTCGCTTTAACCAAACAAACAGAAAAATGTGCCGAACATAAGAAAAAAACCAAATAAATATGACTCGCTCACTTGTTTGGGCAAATTAGGACGAGAGTCTGGCTTTAGTACAGTGCCTTCATCAACCATAAGTTGAGCTAAATAATGACGTCTAAGACTACTGATATTTGATGGTTCCAAATGTTCCTCATCTAGACTGTAGGCAACCTAACCAAAGAAAAAAGAGCAAGCCAAGCACAATGCTTTTTTTTCAATACTAAGACAGTTAAACGGTGAAGTTGAAATTCAGAACAATTTGAGTAGTTGAATAAAAATGAATAATAATTAATCACTATAAAAAATGAAACATTAGAAGCATAGTTTCCATTCATTTCTGATGTGTCCTAAAAGCTAGTGCACACAGGGTGTATTCAGTACTGACTTATAACATCCGAATAATTACAGTTTTCCGGTAAGCTTTATCAGAAGAATATAAGCAGTTGATGTTTGGTTTTGAAATTAAAGTAATATAAAAGCGTACTATGAGACTGTTTTTTAATTTTAAAAGTGATACATTATTATGATGCTAAAAAGATGTATCGCGTGATTTATGCGTAATAAAATCAAGTGCTGTTGTAGTGAACAATCTTATCATGATTCAGCATCATGAATACACCATATATTTCGTTGTTCATCAGAGCGTTAAGTTGATTATAAACAGAAAGATGTTGAATACTCCATACCGATGATACCATTTTTACATGTTGATAACTAACTGGTAGTTAGACAGAACTTAAAAATAATGTTACCGTATATTCCAGTATCTCAGAAAATGATGAGTGTATTTGGTGTTTGCCTGAAACACATACAAAGACCTGAGTCATTTCGGTAATCAAGATAATTTGAATTGCATACAATTACTGGTAGTCGCTAGAGCCAGTTAATATATAGTAGAGTACTAAATGATAATATATGAAAACACACGAACTATAATACATCGACTACAGTTTAAGGTAAGAAAATAACAGAAATTTTTCTTGAATGAAAGAACAATTTAAAAAAACACAAAGTATCCAACTTTCAAAAGACAGGACAAAGTTTGAAAAGCAAGAATACATTGTAAAATACTATATTAGGAAAAGAACAATCAAATCAAAGGAAAATATTAAGCGAAGATTAGTAAATGAAATTTTGTAATCAATAGTGCATATGGGCAAAACATAAACACTGAAAGAATCATGAATTAGAATTAGGATGGATAAAATTATGATATAAACAAGACTTGTTGACAACGATTCAAAAGCTTTTGAATAGATAAATAAGAGTAAACGTTGACCAGCATGTGACAGTTGATCGATCAGTAAAACAACAGCAACCACGTAATAGTAATGGGCAATACTGAAAAAGATAAACTGTATCAAACATCCAACCAACGTTTTAGTTGTTGGCTAGAAACTAGTCAAATACATATCTATATTAAAAGGTATTCTAACTGAAAGCTTTAGAACTACCTTTTTGATAGAACATAAAACTACTGATTCTAGCAGAAACCTTTAACAATTAGAAAACAAAATAATGAGCGGTCGAGACAATTGGTTAGAAGCCATAGCAACTATATAAATACCCACTACAAGTCCTTTCATATTAGGGTATATGTGAGACGACATTGTTCAAACAGATGAAAAATGGGAATGGTAAATAAGCTGAGCATATGTTCAACAATGTCTGAGTTTCCTTTTCAAAGTTGAAGAATAAATATTCGTTTGCAGTGTAAAACTGGTAAATGGATTATTTATATCTCACCATGTAATAATTGAAATAATAATGGAATTTAATTTCTCTAAAATATCTCTTACTGAAGAAAGTGTTTATCATCACAAACACATGAAAGCATAAAAAGTTCAGTTCAATAGGACACAAACAATAAATGTGTTTACATGGAAAGACTTTAGATCGTAGTATATTTTCGGTCAGTATGAATTAAAAAATACTACCACGAAACATTCACTATAGATATAAAATAATATTGTAAGAATACCCTCACCTTGATTAATCCATTTATATCGGTCACTGATCCTGGTGCATTAGAAAGTGAGTGGAATATCTGAGATGAATTGGTCAGGCTCAAAATTTCCTCGTTCTAGAGGAAAAAAACATAAAATTACACAAAAAATTTAAAAAATCATACATAAATGTGTTATTTGCATATAAAGAGAGAAACAAAGTAAGAATTGGTTGTCTTCGTCAATGATTAAAACAACCGCAAGAATGATGTAGACGTTTACGTTTATTTTTGTATCGTGCACTTTAATAAGGAGAAATATTTTCGACAAAACAATGGAAAAAAAGACGATTCACTGTGATAAACTGAAGGCAACTATTTTCAAGTGTCAGTATATTTACTCAAAGCCATATTCTAAAAAGGATACTTACACGTGAAGAACAGTTGTTGAGATTAATCAGATAATAGATGGTAGGACTCATGGAAAATATTTTCCAGAAACGTATCGTTAGCAGGAGTAAGTGATTGGAGATAAGAAAATTACTATGGAATAAAACTTCACAAACAAATATTTTACAGAGCGTTCCTAGAAATCTTGATATATTTTAAAGAATTGGAGAATATAGAAATCGCATGAAAACTCTCATATCTGGGATAATAACAAACTTTGAAAAGTTCTTTACTACTGGTACAAAGGGGCACCTAGATATTTACGCGCCACACCAATTAATGAGTTTGCAAGTGGGTCGGGATACTGCCTAGGTGTCAAAACCGAAGCAGGTGGTTTAGTTAGGAGACCACTCCCCGAGCCTTTGAACTAGAGTTCTAATTCATAAGGCAATTGAGAAGCGTCAGGAAATACAGCCCAATAATAAGTTAATATCCCGTTTGTTTCATTAGGATTCTGGAACCCATGTGAACCAGAAGTTCTAAATTTGGGTTTTCCAACCCCCTCATATCCACCAATCTGGTTTAAGCAATGGACTTTCGCTTCACGTTACAAGAAGACAATGAGTAGGACTTCTCTGGTAGTGGCTATACACGAATGGACATGTTAAAGAATTTCGAGAGGGGATAGCGAACCCTCCCCACTCTTGGCTGCATCAAGGGATTTGAAGGGGGGTTATCTTGCTTCGAAAAAGAATGTAATGGAAAACTACAAAAGAATTGTCACCAGTTTATTTTGAGCTATATATAGTAGTATTTCAAGCGACTGAGGTGTATTATCTTTAGGACAACTATAGAGTTGTGATAGATCCTTAACATTCTTGTCACTGTTGGTCAAAAACGAACACGTTGAGCTTACTTTTGAAACATGTTAGTTGGGGATGCAGAAATTTTAGATTCGATTTTCGGTGCAAAAGATGTTTTAAGACTTATCTTACTTTTGATGCAGCTTAAAGTTTTTACGATGCACCAGACGCATCATCGACAATGTTTTATTGTCATCGCACAAGGTAAAACGTGCTAGCTAGTAAGTTGGTAACTATAGATACAGGAAAGTAGTATTATAGTAATATGTTAAGTGAAGAATAAAGCTGATAATTGAATTGTCTGGGTATGCTTCTAAAAAACCATAAATAGGTCCTGAAAAATAGCATACGGTGAACCTACTTTGTGTTTAGTAAGATACAGCTTGATTAGTGATCACAGATATTCTCCGAACACTGACTTACGTGGATGATGAAAATATGACTCATTTCTCTTGATTTCACTCAGTCCCAACTAATGAGAAGATGGAAACAACATATGACTAGGGAATTTGTTAGGTTCACAAGAAGTTGTATACACATATTCGGAGAGTCCATTGGGTTTAAAATAACAAATTAGCGAACTAAAATATCCACAAACCAATAGGAAGAGATAGTAGCTTTAAGAGCGGTAAAAACGAATGACATATAGCGTAGGGAGACTTGTCGAGAAAACCTCTGAATTCAAATATGTACAAAACAAATTATGAAAAAGTAAGCCTCAAAAGTTATTATTGGGGAGTTAAATGTCCCCACAATAATAGTAAAAATAAAATAAAGATGATGAAATTCAAAAATGTTCGGCAAGACAATGTAATGTTTAATATTCATTATAGGTAGTTTAACAGTGACTAAGTACTTATCGTTTTAATTTGATAGCTAATTAGATAAGGATTATCACTAGGTATGATGTTCGTTCGGCCAACGTCATAACATAAGTTTTTTAGTGCTAATGAATTAACTGTAGAGATAGCAAAACAATACTTCTTCAATGAGTAAGGATTTATGAGCCAAACGGATATCTTTGTCGAAATGTTAAAATTGTATTGACTGTTATTGATTTCGGTAGTTTTTCAAACCAACTTCAACACTGCACTAAGTGAAAATAAATGTTAGGTGCAAGTTTTACATATCTTTCTAAGTTAATTACTAAAGTTAAAAAAATAAATTACGAATGATATATATATATATATATATATATTTATATAAGTATACTCTATACATACTTTGAGCGATAAAAGTGCAAGGGCGATGCGAAACAGAACAACTGAGCCATCATAAAATAATAAATCCCATATTCGAAATGTTAAAGCTGTTGGACATACACTTGAATATAGTGTGAGAAACCACTGTAGCGTAATAAGCGGTAGACCTATGTTCATAGATTGTGATAGAAGGAAAAAAGGAAAACAGATTAACAGAAAATCATGATACTTACACAACGAGCTTGGTTTAATTAATAAATTAGCGGGGTTCACCCAAAAGGAAACAAATAATTGACAACTCTAAGATGTTTCAGTTCTCTAGAAAAATGTAAGTGTACCTAGAAGGTTGATAAGTTGGGTTTTTTGTCTGTCCGGAGATTGCATGAAATACTACTGGAAGTGGTTCGATTTAAGATATCGTTACGTTCAACAGAACTGGTAAAACTATCAAAACAACCGACAATAGTATATTGATATAATGTAGAGAGACAAGACAGTTTTACTTATTGTAAACGTTTTGTTATACTGTGTCCCTACTTTCCTCTCTAACAACCAAAATACATCGACAGAATCTATGAGAATATAATTGATAAATAACTTGACACGTCAGGCTGTTAAATGAATATATATGGTGGTATCTGTGAGATTTCATACACTAATTTACAATAGCTATTGAGATTCATCGACATGTGTAGGAAGGTGTTTTAATCGTTAAACTGTGACAGGATATGACCGTATTAAAGTATGAGATTCGATAGCAATCATCATGTCTCTATTAGTATAACGTGGCAACTAAGGCTATGGTTTTATTCACAAAGCAGTAAGCAGACACAAACGCACAGAAAGAAAATAAAAGTTCGATCAATAAAAAAATGGATAGAAAATGTATTTTGATGACACAATGTGGCCTAGTATTCATGTTGATTCTTGTATATGACTAGAAGTGAACATGTCATGAAAAAATATAAGTCACACAGTATATATATATATATATATATATATATATATATATATACTTAATAGAGAAATACAAAACACGTATCAACGTTGAAAAAGTGAACATATAACTAAGTATTCCGATATTACCTTTACAAATCATCTAACTAAAAAACGGATTTCTGTCAATGGGAAGAAAAAATGACATAACAGCGAAAAGAACACTTCATTTTATTGTTACAGCACTTTATGATGATAGATTTGATGAATAGAAAAGATTGCATAGTAGTTGTAATCAGATTATTTCTAACCAAAAACATTTTTTACGTCAGTTGATATCAGATTAAAAGGAATAATTCAACACCCACGAACTGTGGTAGTGTACAAATATGCCGAGCCCAGATGGCTTATCCCAACCTTTGGACACATTATTCAATGCATTCTTTCCGAGTTATTATTCACACGTCTTTCGAAATTGTCTATCATTCGCTCATATCTTGGTTGTTTTTACTCGAGTGTGCTTGCATGCTTTGCTTATTACATGTCTAGTGTATTTTGCTTGACTATAAATACTTAGTCATGCCTTATCACATGGAGTTGGCTCACTCGCTTTCGCCGCTTCGCTTTGCTTTAACGCTTTTTATCCTCATGTCCGTCTGTGCGAACGACTGTATGAAATAAATTTATCCGCAAGATGGAATTTGACTTCTTATTACCGCCGTCGCACAAACGGGAAGATTTATTTCATAATATATTTAGTTGTTTGTAAATATTGGAATCAGACCACTGGCCAGTAAAGTGGTGAGCCCTATTTCGAGTTCAACACAGCCACTAAAAAATAAAATGTATTAAGATGGACATTTTATTCACGACTTTTATATCCGAATTCTTAAATTTTATGTAATAATTATTTCCAGTTTGCATAATGCATATCGCTTACTTATTTCATATTCTTTTAATTGTGCATCTAATTCTGGTAAATAGAATGGAAGCAAATGATTCAGTACAAGTTGGTCAGCTTGTACACCCAATAAACTAAGTGATGAAAAATATGATGGTGGTAGAAGATCCTCAATAATACTGCACATCATCCAGAAAGCTGTTTCTTCTTCTAAGCATAATAATAGATTTGCAGCTATCTATTGTAGGCAGAAAAGGTTGATGGAAAAAAAGAAAAATAAGATTGAGGTCATGTTTTTATGGTTAACAAAATTAGACGAATTGTTGACACAAACTATGGTGTTGCATCATGGGGCTAGATGAATGTCATGCAAGACAGACAAATACACTTGCGACAATCTCATGAGATTGGGATAGGTTAGCAGTCGTGCTTTGACGATTGTGGTACGAATGGCCTGCATGGTTGAGGAGCTGTTTTTTTCGTGTTAAACTTAAAACACTACTATACCATAGTCCTAAACTTTAGGCCTAAGTAATGGGAATTAAACTGATGACCTACAGGTCTAATGAAAATTAAGGTGATTTTATGTCCCCAGATCACGTTTCACTGGTCTAATATGTTAAACTTTTCCACTAAGTTGTAGGGATGTTTCTATATGATTTTACGACTTCAATTATTACTATCACCATCATGGAGGTGAGGGGCGCTGCAGAATATATATTACTGGCGAAACAATTATAAATAATTCTTGTCCGTGACCTAATTTTGTTCTCTTATCTTAAAGGACATTGGAACAGATTTCTAGGTAATAGGCGAATAAATTTCCCTATTTGTTCAAGCTTATTTTTATTAAAAACCGAAGTAACAATAGTCCACGTTGTATTACTACCCATAATGGAAAACAAAACTAATTCGTCAGCAGGAAATAGAAAAAGTGGGGAAGAAATCAATAATTCTAAAATCCTTTAAAATGTGATCAATCAGTGGTAGATATGCTTCAGTCAATAAGGTCACAGTTAGATCAAATCCCAAAGGATGGTGAAAAGGAAAAAGGGAAGAGAATTGTACGAAGCAATAACAAATATTATTAATATGACACTAATAGTGACACAGTGTGATGAACTAAGAAAGGGACTTGGTATTACGATATTGTATGACAACCATTGTCTAATTTTATGGTGTTCGAGTGTTTCTTTATACCAAATATTCATCAGTTTCTATTACTTGAACTGATGCACTAAGCAGCTGGATTCGATCAAATATTTTGTGTCCAATTGTTGTTGTTTCTTCGGGATGCCTCACATGCATTGGTAACATAATGTGTAAAGCTGAAGTCTAGAAATATGTTTTTGGTTATGGTCGAAACTGTTAACCAGCCAGTAAAAATACCTTAAGAAGACTACTTTGAAGGGTTAGATACATTTTAGATGTTAAAGTGGATTCCATAACAAGCAATGTTTGGTGATACCGGGTCTTCTTGGACAAAGGGAAACTGAGCAGTTTATAAAATCGCCTCATGGAATGAAAATAGATGATTTAATTAAGTTTATACTTTATTCAACAAGAGCAAAGATCAAAATTATCGGTAATTATAGGGTCATTTTTAAGTTCCAAAAAACAGTCAAGTGTTGTTAATTTGAGAAATCGAACTTTATCTTGGTTGTATCCTTATTTATAGCTTATTACTACATAACCTTTCCGCTTTAATTATCATTTTGTTTATTATGGAGGTTTTCTTAATGCCTTACAATACGAAGCTTTTTGGTTGAGTAATTTTTGACTGAGATAATTAAAAAATGAAAAGTTTTTGTTGATTGACTCACCAATCCCATGCCTTGACAATATCCTACATCTACATACAACCAAGCTAGAGCACGCAGAACTCGACGCAGTCGCGAAATACCAGTAGAATTTGAAGAATGGAAACACAAATTATTTGGCATTGTGCGGAAAAGATCCTAGGACACAAAAGATATAAGGTGGTAAAGTGAGAAATAGTCATACTACTGAAAATTTATTTTGTATTATTGAATGAGTCGTGACCAATGATTTTTAAGAATTTTGACTACTTGTCATTCTTTTTAGGAGATAGATGTCAAAAAGACCGTAGAATCTTGTCAATAATGAATGAAGTTATCATCCACTGGATACGATAAAAGTAGACAGTCAAAAACCAGTATCGATGAATTTGCCAGCTTTGAATGTTTCCAGAAAGGTTTCTAGCATAAGTAGTGGTATATGAAACAATTTTATTTCAAAGTGGGATGTTCGAAGTGCTTTAGTTGATTATTGTTCTTATCTAACAGGGTAATAATACTAACTCAAAATCTAGACACAAAGATCGGTGGGGGTGTGTGCAGTCTATATCGAAATGAACTCTGAATGCTAGTTATATAATACGATAAAAGAAGGTTCTGTTATACATTTAAATGAATAAATTAATTTGATCATTTAATGATGACGTTCTCGGTTCAATTATTGGTGGCAGAGAAAGCGAGATAGTAAGGTACTAAGAGATAAGATGTTAACCCTTCAAAATGTTTGGTTCTTCTGCCTTTAAACTAGTTGATTTTTAAAACAACACTTTCAAGTAAACTTTACTTCTTATTGTAGTGAGGTATTAAGAGAGAGGGAAATACCATGATAGTTATTCTACAAACCACGTAGCTTTTCTATTTTATCTGATAAAGAGAATATGCGACAGTTTATAGATATTTAGATTTCAAATATTAGAACTAATTTCCTGATAAAATGTGGCAGAAACCAAACAAAATTAAAGTATACAAATAACTACATCTACCCAATAAACTTTATGGGAATATTTTTTCAATGTTGAACACATTTTGTTTTTCCCTACTTATTCTTATGGATCTCATTAATTTAATATAATTATTCAATAAGTAAGTATTTTGAAATTATTCAACAACTTGTTTACTGGTAAGTTAAAAACGATATAACAATTAAGCAACCTTTTCGATTTGAATTCCGGCCAAAAGTGTGTCGGTAGAGCTGAGTTGAACCAATTCAGTATACGTAACTGAAGGGACACGTTGTTTAGATTCTTTTGCCTTTATTAAGGCTCCTGTTAATCTAGGCCATATGTGAGGCCGAAGGGAATGAGGAATGCCAAGTTGTTCATTAGATTTAACAAGAGCTTCTACATCTACAGCTTGTCCTCGAACAAGTTCTGTTAGTCTAGGTGATTGAACTAGACGTAAATTTACTCTTGACCATAGTTGATCGTCATCTTCATCGACAGTAGATCCAACTGAACTGTATCTGGTATCATATTCATCTAGACTTGATATACCCAGTGTATGAGTATGAGAGAATTCCAAGCAGGTCAACCAAGCACGTCGATTCGCCGATGATTCGATGAATGGATTTGGAAGGCTTCCTTCTAAAGAAAGGAGCATAAAATGGTAACTACCCATTAAAAGGCTTTTCAAAAGTGATATAAAAGCATTACAAGCCGTACTAGATGAAAACAGGGTATTGATTTTCAGACCATTAAACAGCTGAGGTATTAAATGAGAATATTCGATAATAACCAGTCTGGAACTAGCCAACTGATCACCTACAAGTATAAATCGCGGAGTGTGAGATAATTATTCGTGGAAAGGCTACTAAAACTACCAAGCTTCGCAAATCAAACTACGGTAAGGGTTAAAATTGGAAGTCTAGTTACTTCGCCTTTTTAGCGATTGATTGATGCAAGGTATCATGTGCTTAATTTCGAACTGGTTGACCTTCTAGCTAGTAGATTAAATGATTAAAATACAACAATGATAACTCTTACTCTAAAAACTACTTAAATTAGTACTAGTTATAAAAGACTAATCAAAATCAAGGTGACTTAAAACAATTTATACTTTTCAGTAGCACAGGAGGATGATTCATTTGAAGGATGGAGTTCCACTTTTATTGTAATAACTATGATCAAAATGAACAAATACATAAGTATAGACCACCCATTGAGACAAATGAAAATTTATCAGAGATTCCTTAGGGGTGAAAATGTAGTAGTTGAGACCTTGTATACTTATCGAGAATATCACACGTGAGATAACGATTAATGATTGTAAAACATCGGTTGTACAATGTGATAAAATTTTGGAATTGAACTGTTCATAAAGCGGGTGGGAACATAAGTCATTCAGGTGTAAAATTTAACTTTCGGATTTACAGTCCCGGGTTTGGTAAGTGTATGACAAAAGCTTCAGCACTGCAAAGACAAAAAGGCATAGTTTTTTGGCTTTGAATTAGCTTAAGTAGACCAATTACTCCGGAATATTCCAAAATTTCTTGGTTTTTGTTGATAAGCTTTCTTTTTGGTATGAGAACCTGCATTTAGGCGTATATGCATGATGCACTGTTATTCGATTGTTTTACCAATGAGGTTTTGATGATATTGCGCATAATTTCATTTTGTGCATACGTATCAAGGAGGAATAATAAATACAAGAAGTTCAAAGGCAAAAAATATTATTATTACTTGTTTCTCTTTTAAATACTAAAAATCGTTTTCACTTATTTAGGTAATAATATATTTCCTTATGGAAAATAAGGTACAACAAAGTCTATCAATTAGAAATTATAGTGAATAATTACTAAGCCAAAAAGATTAGCATAAAATGAAAACATAAACCAGCAATAACAATAATAAAAACATTTTGATAAAAATCAGATTGGATGACTTTTCTAATCATGCACTAGTTATATGACAAGCTATTCGAAAAAACATGAATTTGGTTACAATATCCTCTATTTTGTGAATAACTGAGCTTTAACTTTCAAACTTACCAGATCAGGAATTAATAATAACTTTGGATAGGGTAGAAGGCACAGAAAGTTAATTTTGTCTAACGTTTACTTAAAAATAATGACTGTCAGAAATGGATGAACAAGCAAAAAAACACACTAACAAATTGTTAGAAAACCAGTGAATGAAAAAATATCCTATCAGCGGGAGGTGAATTAAACCGAGCAACATTCGACTGATTAAAAATGTAAAATCGTTAATTAAATTTACACATACCACCATATTTTCATGATAACAGGTGTGTGCATACTACTTGCCTACATAAATATTTGGTTAAACTCAAATTTCGAAGGGAGTTTGTTATTCACTTTCCACGTATCCCGTCAACTGGTAATGTAGCATAAGTTATCAAAATTGTAATCTAGTCGGATGAAGACTATACGACAAACATTTACCTTGCTGAGTTTTTAATGGAAATGACTAATTACCTGTAACTACGAACGTGATTTAATGCTGCATCGAGCACCTCTAGATTTATTGCTGGTCCCAAGACTGAGTGAAAAAGGAAGGTTGAGGGTAGGGTTAGCAACTCACCTAGCACAATGAAACCAGCTACGAAAACCACAAACTAAGACAAATACTTAAACCAATTAAACTACATCCTGGAAAGAGAAGTGTCCTTGTATGGAACATTCATAGATCCTTTAAATGGTTGTAAAGATAAGAGGACAAGCTGCGCATGCTTAGGTTCAGTGAAACTTATTAAACACAATTCGAGCCTTCGAAACTAACTTCAACAGAGATATTATTGGTTTCTGGCCAACAAGGAGTAAATACTTCACACACAAACAGTGGCATTGGTCCCCAAAGAACAACAGAAAGCACTTAAAGAATGGGAAATCTACGGCTTCAACATCATCAAACTACAGAAAACCGGATCGATCACATCTGGATGGATGAAACATTCAAAAGGTCCATCTAAGATGTAAGAATAAAGAGAGGATCTGATATGGCTTCACAACACGACCTGGTGGCGATCAAGCTGAAGGCGAAGCCAAAGAAACATTGAAATATTTGACAAGCGGTGCTACGACAATTTAGTACAGTCCCACTTCAAGATGCTAACAAGCTTTGTGAGTTTATCATAGCTCTCGCCAACATCTATCAGGCCGAAAAAGATCGAATCGAAGTAAAGGAAACCACTATAGAAAGCAACAGGAAAGAGATCGAAAGGGTAGCAACTGCAATATGTCATCAAGTGCTGGGTTCCAACAGACACCACAATAAACGACGGACCACTGTAGATAATATGACTACGGTTCAACAAAACAAAAATAAGCAAACAGGAGTTAACAACAGACGAACAAAAGCAAAGAAAGTCGAAGTGCGGGCAGAAGATACACAAGCGAATATGGTTGTTCTGGTTAGCCTTTTTTTAGCGAGTTAATTTTCTACGGGAGGGAATCGCTAACCATATGCCCAATCCTCCTCCTTTATCCAGGTTTAGGAGCGGCAATAAACAGTGAAGAAAAGCATTAGGACTGACTATCAGAAATATGTAGAAAACCTGGAAAATACCGCAGAACAAGCTTGCAGGGAATGAAAGAACCACATGATACAACCAAGAAGTGAGTAGGGAAATATGGTAGTCAAGATTGGCCATTCAGGAACAAACAAGCAAATATAATCACTGAAGACCACAAGTAGCAGAACCGATGTATAGAGCAGTTTGAGAAGCTACTGAATAGGCTGACGCTGCTGAGCCCACCGGACATCCAAAAAGCGCAAACAAACCTCCCTACACAAGTGACCTCAAACGAAATCAGCGATCGGCCTACACCATATCTTATCATTATGACTGACTTTTCTGACGGTGCAGTCGTTCAGTATCAAAATGTTAGCACCCTAGTCATTATTTACGTATTCTAAGTTCATCTCGGTGGGGCACGGTAGATCTAACCCGGAATGTGGTTGACTGCATTGACATATTTTAGTAGTTTTGAACTCTAGTCAAACAAATTATATATATATATATATATACCAGTTTATTTTATATACAATAACCGTCATTACCACAAACGCATAATTTAGTTCAATACTTTACGTTTTGCCATTTGTAATCGTACTCAATATCCAAATAAACAACTTTAAAATGCAGTGAAAGGTACTTTTTACAAGCTCGTCTTTATCGGTATGGACCCTTTGTTTATTTACTTAGTAGTATTATTTTGACATTACTAAATTACCCTTTCGGGCTTTGCAGAGTATGTGGTGGTTAAAGTGTATAAGAATGGTTTACATATAATGTTACCTAGATCATCTATTCGAAATCCGAATTCGTCAAAGTAGCGCTTGACTAAGCTTTGGACGTTCGATTCTGATGAAACTTGGTCAGCTGGCTTTCCATATACACATGACGGTTTAAGTGAAGGGACGAGAGCTGAGAACGACACTATTTCGGTTAGTTGATTTCTTAGGATTGGTATATCAAGTAAATTTTCGACTGAATTGTTTTGGACTAGTTGATTTACATTTCTTTCTGACTGGCCATCTAGATCGGGTCTTCCATATTGCAGCTTGTCTTTTGAATCTTTAAACAAAAATCAAATAGATAGTTAGTTGAGATGAGATTGTGAGAAAAATTGTATAAATATGATGAATAACAGGAAGAAGCAAGATACATTCAAATATAGTACGACTGAATAGCTCTGATTCTAACAAATACTCATCATTATTCTTTGAATATTGTAACATTAGTTAATATTAACCTGGAATTTTATAGTTTGTCGTGTTTGAATCCAAGATTTCGTACCGGTAGGGTTTTGTGAATGTAAGAAACATTTAGTTCCACAAAATGTTTCAGAGCACTCATGTGAATTACACTACCAAAAATAATCGATGACTAACCAATGGATCATAGGTTACTGAGATACTGGTGCCAGGATCCAACGCCCGGTTCAGTTCATGCACAAACAATAAAACTTGAATATGCTGTATTAAAAAAACACTCATGGGATATAGTTTATCTAATTTAAAAAATTTTAGATACAGATGATAGCAAACAAGCTAAAAACAACAAAGATTTGTAATAAAAATTGTTTGTATGGCTTATGATTGATCGTTAAAGCTTATTTATACACTAATAACTGTAAAAGCCCGGAGCTAACGTTTGAAGGAAGCATTTATGAAGAATTATTGCTGAGTATGATCCCAATTTGATGGATGCATTAACTGATACTATCAACAATAAGCTTTAGTAAATTTTGTGCTCCAGACTAAATTTGTGTATAACATAAATTAGCACAATATTTAACGTAAGAACATTCTAAAACCTTTGTAAAATCATGGAAAGCAGACACATTAAAAGTAATTGTATTGGTATGTACGTGGTATGGCAAGGTGAATTGATATACGTATGTAGGAAGTTCTACGTTATAGGTAACTGACGTTAAAAGTTATTATTAATCTTTGGTAAATTATATTACTGACAGCAGACTTCATATCAGCGTCACCCCTTTGTGTTTTGAGTAGTTACAAGGTCTGAATGTTAACAAATGAATTTAAGACTCGTCGATAGCCTAAAATGAAACAGTGTGGTCATAAGATTGGAACATTTGATTCCTTACATTCACTAGGTTTAGGTGAACAACGATCAAGACTGAACAGTTAACCATAGGCTTAAAAAAACTGTTTTTTACTATAACCATATATGAGGAATAATATCCCTAAGCTTCAAGAAGACTATCGATAATCGTGGACAAAAGGTATACTACCCAATTGAGTAATTCAGTCTCAAGAACAAATGACTGTATGATCGATTTGGTCACTAAAACACAGTAATACAAAGACGTTATGGACTATGATAGCCAGGAAGTTGGTGCGAATGAGAAAATGAGCATAGCTCTAAAGGCCGCAAGTCACGAGTCTATTGGAAAATGTAGGTGGTCCTGGAGTTAGGACAAGTTGAGAATTTGATGTTACTTGCACTAATCCAGTGAAATTTCATAGTCATAATATAGGATTGCTGTAACCCATCTTTTATTTATCAGAATCTAGTTTTACATTTACTGCCCTTTAGATAATATATAGATTGCCGGTTGATTACATAGAAAACTGGTACAATATTTTAGGGAGACTAGGTAATAGTTAAATCCATTGTAAGCTAAAAATCGAATCTGTCAAACAAGTAAAATACTAACCACTATTCCGTAAATTATCACAGCTTTCGCTGGGCATTTATCTGAGAAAGTCAACCCTCCCCGTCCTTAACAATGTAAACAACGCGGTAACTTTGACGAATCCGTAATCTATGCACTTAAACAAAACAAGCTTCAGCCAAATTTATTCCCCACTGAAAATACTCAACACTAGAAGGCTGCAGTTTAAGCTGAGGAAAGATTGTGTGAAGTTATACCTATGTATAATGTTCTCGTTCATGAATCCACAATTTAGTATCGTTTCTATATAATTGTGACTACCTGTTGTACAACGCTCATCCTTCTAATACTATAGTCTTGATGATCGGAAACAGCTCTAAGACCTTCAAAGAATTTATTAAAGTTTTGTTTATTCACTTCATTTCATTTTCCTACTAGATCTGCTTAGCTATATGTTGATAAACTTTGATGGGAGACGAATGTATTCGCCCAAGGAAAATGGGTAATATCAAGTCCCTTCTTGTTCCATCCGTGGGTATCTGTATGGAAAGTCGCAAAATAACCTGTTTGGATAGTCAAATAAATTACGAGAGGTATAAAACTGGTGAGCATAAAAATTAATTGACAAACGTTGATGAAAAAGCAATTGTAGAAACTATTTTTTTGATCGAATCTTGTTTCTGCTCAGTCCACAGCTGAGGATTTAGTTTTTATCAAACCACATAATTCAAGTTTTTGTCTCCAGTTACCGAGCTTTAAACAGAAGGGATTTCCAATGGATTACCAAACACTCCCCAGAGGCTTCGATATTATAAAATCTACAAAGTCTAACTACCACTCCTAAACCAAGGAGCAATATGCAATGTAATCGTAAATTCCTGGTTTAATCTGCAGTGAAACAAGTTTCCATCGGTTTTTTCTTATTCCGACTGGATAAAGTATAAAAAATTAGGCAGGAAATATACTTTTTAAATTTACAGTTAATAACGTGAATTTTTCGCATGGTCGTATCTATTACAATTCTAAAGTCTTTTAGGTGTGTTGTTGCTAATAACCGATTTATCACAGAAGCTAACAGTCACCTTCAGACCTGCAACAGTGGATACAAACTGATGAGATATAATTCACCTAAATTCAATAGAAATATTCCTAACAAAATAGAGCTGAAATTCTGTCCTTAACTGTCTAGTTGAGCAGGAAACACTTCCAGCAGAAAGTGAGTGAGGAACAGTAAACAGAATCTGCGCAGTTGAACTATCAGTTTAATCAGTGGGTTGACTTGTGATAACAGAAGGAGATATTACGGATATTACGTCTAAATTTTTTGCTGGTCTGTTACTGAAGGTAAACCTATTAATACAACTACAAAAAGGACAAGTATTAAAAAAATCTGAACATCTCAACCTGTAAAGACTAAGTAATAAATTCATTATCATGACAAGTCTCATTTTTCTCCAGAACATTTGTTTCCGTTCTCATTCTCAAGTTCCCTCCTATTTGTTGTTCTCACTCTTCGCAAACAATCTCGATTGCTTTCTACTGATTTATACCACCTACTTATAATCAGTAAAAAATTTTATTTTTGACAATCTCTAAGCATGTAATGTAAGTCTGATTACATTGTTGTGTGGTAAGCCAAAATATTTACACAAACTAATAATGTCTATTTTAGTTATGATTATAGTTACTTTCTATGAGCTCTCGCAGAAGCTATTTGTTTTTAACTTTCCAAGAACATTTTTAAGCGCGACCAGTTGCATATCGGCTTGCTATTAGTCCATGTTCGGTTACCGATAAGCTGTCGTTAATAGTAGATGCAGCTCACAGCTATCATTTATGTTAGGGTACATTGCAATTACTCTTTATTTAATTGTCATAGGAAGATAATTCTTTACAGATTTTCAGACGCTTTAATCACTTTAGACGCTTCACGAGTTAAGGTCTGTAGCTAATTTATGTTTATTCATCAATAAAAAAACCGTTCCTTAGATAAGTCGTTGTAAGGCTTCGATTTGATACATATTTCAATCATGTTGCTAGATGCTCTGACTGATTTAGCACTCATTTTCATTCGTTAAATGATCATACACTTCAAGTGCTGTAGGCAGTAACACAGCAGGCGTTCACACACATATTTGGATAAACATACGGGTGATCAGTGAAGTCGTAGCAAAGTAGTAGCTTTTCATCAAAAATTTATTTATAATCTAAACACTGTAAACCATTTCCTGGTAGTAATATCACATACAACATAAATATAGATTAAGTCTCAGTTAGTTTCCCATAAAGCTCGCTAAGCTACAAATTCACATCAAGATAACCTTGACCATTAAAAAAACGGAGTTTCTTGAACTTCGTGGTGGCAACATTGTTGTAACCTTAGGCTTAAGTGAATTGTCCCTATCATTTTAGTTTGTACGAGGCTCATCTCCACGTAAAGGGCTTAGTTCTACCTCACTTCTCGGCTCTCTGAGCTAAGATCGTGTGTAGTATCTCAACTTTACCTCATGGTGAAATAAAATTACGACGCAAATCCAAGTAATGTTTAATGTCCCTAAACGTTGTTCCGAAACCCAGTATCATTTTGGTGCATCGCATCCAATCAAGACTCTTGTCTGATTGCTTTGGAACCTCGGAAGAGTTATGTTCACTAAGTACTTCCACTATTACAATTGTTGTTTGGTTAGGGGCTCGAATCATCGATAGCATTTTAATCGAATAAGCCCTGAATATATTCAGAGATCTGTTAGCACTCGAAGACGGTATCACTGAATGCACTTGAAAAAACATAAGTAGTAGGTTTTCATAGTCACCGAGTTCATCAGGGTTTCTTAACCTTTGAGACCCAGACGATTTTTTATCTCTCCTTGAATGAGTGATGTATTAGGACCACTATCTAAGAAGTTATGAGTTTCCGAACGTCCCTCAATATTATAGGGCTTCATTGAGAAATTGCCCAAACAGAAACTCATGAGTTCTAATACCTAGCACAATTTACTGTGTGGTTTTGATCACCGTTAATATGTAGTATGAAATGAGACTGAAACGTGGAGTTTTGAACACCACACTTTAAGCTTGGGTTACACAATTAGACTGTGACCCTTACTCAGACAAAGATATCACAGACCACATCTCCTTCCCATTTCCCTTACATAACTCTTTTCTGATAATTCCATGTAATCTATCAGTAGTGATCGCTCTCACGCAACTCGAAACTTAAGAATTCCATTAAGTTGCTTATCTCATGCTTAACCACATTGTGGAACACTCCTAGGTCGATTTGGCATTTATAACCATTTTTTTAGTCTTAAAATTACATTTCGCCAGCCAAATTTACTGTTTCCTAACCATCCTAGGTTTTCTCCTACGATGGACAATTAAATTTCGATCATGTGAAGAACCGGATTAGCTATATGTTGGTATTGACAAGGTTCTTCATCCAAACGCAAAATATCAATATCAGGTCGGCTATCGTTATAACCAATATTACAGGTAGCGATGAACGAACCTTCAAAGTAAATAGTTCCGTAATTCTTTGACCTTGTACTGACCTCATTATTCTTAATCGACACACCCCGTCTGAAGTTTCTTGCTCGCACCCAAACCAGGTCACTAATGGATGCGCCGTGCAACGCATCTCTCTGTCCCTACTAGTAAGCTTAGCTAACTCACTCCTCGACCATCTTTGGAAAATATCTCCGATCCTCCTCATTCTTGTCTTCTAGTATGACTTAGCCTTGGGTATTCTTGATCTGAAAGGTGTTATCGACAAAATTATCGTCGAACTCTGAATATTTGTAGTGTCCACAGACTCATATGGTTAGGGATACACTGTGTCTGGGAATGTCACGGATCATTAGGATACGACAGCGCTCTTGTTTGTAACACTTTTCACATAGAGAATACACAACGGCAAATCAAAAGGGAATTTATAAATGAGGAAGACCGAAGGTGAATGAGTGTATTAAGTCTGCTAGTTGATGTGAAGGGATACACGTTCTTGTGCCGATAAGTGATCGAGCGCCTTCAGCTGAGTTGGTTCACTAAATCTGATGAGGTCAGCATCAATATTGGAGATTTATAGAACTATTTATAATTGGTATTAGTTTAAAGTTACAAGTTCACACGTCTCTATGAAATTTCGACTGGACATAAACCTTTCAACAATTTCTAAAATTTAGAGAATCAAATAAACGAAATCTAAAAACTGTCTTTTACTTTCAAACTATATACTGGTCCTTTATGCAAGTACAATAGATTGATACATCTGTGACATCGACCCAAATAAATGGAATATCAGATGCTAATCCAGGTACCAACTAGTCAACCAAAACATATTATTCTGATAATGATTATGCAAATTTTCATGACCGACTTTCAGTTCTCAGGCGTCTAGAACAGTTTCCAAAATATCCAATTAAAACATCGTAAAACCAAAGTGTACATGGTTAAATTCTCAAAAAGGGTAATTCAAGGTTTGTGTAAAACATATATCCAAAGTCCTGTGAAAATAATGATATGTATAGTAACGGTTAGAAGTCAGTCAAACATTGAGTTCCTTTTATAAAAAGAGCAAATCCCAAAAGTAAGCAGAAAGTAAGCAAATACAGAGCAGGAACAGCAGTTCTATTAGGAATAGGGATGCTATCGTAGTGGACAATTTGAGGGGATTTTGAAGGTCTGTTCAAAGTTATCGGGAGACCACTAACAAGAAGAATTGAAATAGATGCTCTTCGATCACAAGTGTGTATCCCAAAATCTAGAAGCAGAGTGGGAGTTATAAAACAGACGGTAAAACTTCCATTACGTACTTTGTTATCTCTTAGACATTGTATCGTCGATTTTGGTGACACAATATGTTGTTCAAACTCCAATATATTCAATGTTTTTTGCACGAGCTAATATAAACTAACTGATTTCCTTGCACGAGTTTCTTGTTCTTTCGATGCGGTTCCGTGTTTGAAAATCCTTGCTATCAATTAACATCTTAACTGAAATGAATTTTAGTATCGATCACTCTCTGTGTCACAACGTTTGAACGGATTAGACGCCGTTCTTTACTCAATGTATTGGAAAATTATTTTCTTCATCAAACAACTGGTGACAGCTGATGCAGAAACTAGTAGAAGTAAATTGTTC